GCCCTTCGACACACCGATATTGGACCTGAAGAAGTCGTACTTCAATGCCAAATACTTGTTGCGCACAGACATTTTGGGAACATACACAAGAGACAAGCAACCATGGTTGTCTTCGAACACTGTAGAGCGTACGAGACTGTCAGTAATTTCCGGCATATTCAGTTTGCAACCAATTTCTTTGAGCAAAGCACGCATATGAAGCAGCTCCCTCATTGATATGCTGAAGGCAACATATCCAGCAGCAGTGGAGCTCAATGTAATGTCAGTCTGTAGCTTGCTTGACGATACTGGCACCCCAAACAAAGTCAAGACCAAAGCCCCCTGTGCGAGACTTGACGGATACAGGATCATGTTCATCCTCATATCCATCAAATCCGGCGAAGTCAGCAACGAACCAACAGTCAAGTCCATGATAAAGTTTAGGGCTAAAACAATTGCCTTTGTCACTTGTGCCGATTAGATACCGAATGATACTTTTGATTGCTTGAGCATGGGTATGCCTGGGATTGTGACTTCATCGTGCCACCTGGTGCACACAAAAAGTGATGTCTGGGCGAGTTTTCGACGCAATATAAAGAAGACTCCCAACTGCAGCTGGGTAGCTCCACCCTTCTTCAAATGGGGCCCCCAGTTTGTCAGCTTCGAGAGGATCAGTGGCGGCAAAGGAGAAAGCTTCTGCTAGCGTTCAACCCACACCAGTATCATTACGCATGGACTTCATTGATAGCCTTTTTTAGAGTAAGTCCGAACCATGTCTCCCTGAATCAGTTTCAAATTATGCCGACGACATGCAAAGATGTACCCTTTCTGCCTATTGGCTGCAGGTTCCATAGGGTCCAAGTTTTTGAGCTTATCCAAAGTAGGACTAATCAGCACATGCTTAGTACAACCCTACCAACGTCCCGGACTGAATGCCTCATCTCCCGACTCTGGAACAACGGGCCGACATTTTCACTAAGGGTCTTCCGGCTCCACAGTTTGCTGTCATTCGGAAGCTCCTCATGGGATGGTAATTTACCTCAGCACTTTGCTGGGGACTCTCTTCTATCGTTTCTTGCTCCAGCTTCATTTCAGCTGTAAGGGAGTGCGACAGGATACAGCTTACAATTCAGCTTTACAGCTTTACAATTAGCAGGCTTATTCTAGAAAATAATCAATAACTGCTCACTTATTTGGAAATACAAACTTTACATCTCTTAGATCCTTAGACTAGTCAATGCACAATGGTATTGTCGCATCTGGATCCCGTCAGAGATAGCTCCAACAGCTATGCTGGCCTACAGCTCCAGCATGCACAGTTGGCTTATCTCCAGCAAAGCAGCAAGAAAGGATCGTCCTTTCTACCATAGTTAAGAAAATAGTACGAAAGATTGAGACCGATCCTGATTAGCTTGTAGCCCCTTTGATACCGCAGCAGTTGATACCAATCCTGTTGAGGCCGGGCAGAAGCAGTAGGAGGTAGCAGATAGTACTGTTCCCAGACTGCCACTGCACGATTGAATAACGAAGGCCCCCAGCTCCTGAGGAGAGCTGGCCCAAAAGGGCCCAGCAGAGAGCTCTGCTGGCCCTCCTGTCTGACTGACAGGGCCAAGTCCTTGGTTTGGGTGCCTACTGGAGGTGTTGGATACTCCTGAGGCACGACAAGGCTCCCTGAACTGCCTGACTACCGCTGTACCTGAGGAAGGGTTTCAGCGAGACCTAGTCCACTACTTCGGTATTGGAACTGAACCTTCCAGAAACTTATTGGCCATTGTGGGAATTCCAAGCATGCTGTATCAGCTGTTGGTGTGTTGGTACTGGGCGACAGTGTCAACTGGAATTCCCGTGCTCGGATTCTCAGTGGAGGGTCTGCTGGTGCTTGGGCCCTGAGCTGGGGGGCCCATAGTGCTAGGACTCTGACTCGTTGGGACAGGCATCTAGGGGGGGCAGCATCGTGGGCATGACTCTGGATGCCCCACTGGTCCAGTTGGAGCCAAGGCGCTCTTAGGGTACTGTTCCATTTGTGGAGTTGGTTTGCTCTGGGCCTGATAGTGGTATTGCCGCAGGCCATGTTTTGGATTTCGTCAGTGTGGAGTGTGTCTGCTCTTTGGAGATTTGCTGAGTGTCTGTCCTTGGATCACTGCTGGGCCACTTTGGTGAGTGATGAACATGTTCTGGATCTCTTCAGGGTGGAGTGTGTGCACTTGTGGGGGGGAGTTCCACCCCAAGTTGGTTGAGTGATGATTCTGCATGGCTGAGCCACTCATTGGAGAGCTGCTCTGGGCGGGTATGAGTCTGATGCCATTTCTGATTCGGACTGTTCAAGATCTATGCAGCGTAGAGTGGTCTGTATCACTTTGTTGGAGCAGGAGTGCTGCGTCTGGCATGATGCTGGGGCCCTCCCTTGCTGGAAACTGTTCTGGGTCTCCTCAATGTGGACCTGATTCTCAGGATATGTTCTGGATCTCTGCTGGGCCCTTTGGTGGGTGCTGCTTCGGGCCTGGTTCGGAATCCTCTGATTGGGACAGTGTTTTGCAATTCTCTGGCCACTTTGTGGAGTGCTGCTCCGGCCTGGTTCTGACATCTCTGAATGGGACATGTTTGCATTTCTGCTGGGCCACTTTGGTGGAGTGCTGCTCCAGGCCTGGTTCTGACATCTCTGATTGGGACATGTTTGCATTTCTGCTGGCCACTTTGGTAGAGTGCTGCTCCGGGCCAGGTTCTGACATCCTCTGAATGGGACATGTTTGCATTTCTGCTGGGCCGCTTTGGTGGAGTGCTGCTCCGGACCTGGTTCTGACATCCTCTGATTGGACATGTTTTGGATTTCTGCTGGACCACTGGCCTGGTTCTGACATCCTCTGATTGGGACATGTTTTGCATTTCTGCTGGGCACTTTGGTGGAGTGTGCTCAGTGGTTCTGACATCGCCTGAATAGGACATGTTTGCATTTCTGCTGAGCCACTTGGTGGAGTGCTGCTCCAGGCCTGGTTCTGACATCCTCTGATTGGGACATGTTTGCATTTCTGCTGGGCCACTTTGGTGGAGTGCTGCTCCGGGCCAGGTTCTGACATCCTCTGATTGGTACATGTTTTGAATTTCTGCTGGGCCACTTTGGTGGAGTGTGCTGCTCCGAGCCTGGCTCTGTTCTGACGTCCTCTGAAATGGGACCTGTTTTGGATTTCTGCTGGGCTTTTCCAGGCCTGATTCTGGCGTCCTCTGATTTGGGCATGTTCTGGATCTCTTCAGTGTGGAGTTCTTGGAGATCTGCTCAAGGCCTCACAAACATGACGTGGTTTTCAGATCGACTTCAGTTTCGAACCAGCGCAGTGTCCCAAAATTTTGGGCATAGCTTCCACGTAATTCCGTTGTAGGGCCATTTTGCGTTTTCTTAAGGCCATTGCGCTCCAGAGGAAGTCACACACATTCTGTCCCTCATGCTATGAGTCTCTTGTATTGCCGTTGACATTCAAACAGAACCAACCGAAACGCAGGCCGAAACAGCTTCCTTGAAATTTCTTGGGAGACGTATGTCTAAAGGTCTCAAAGTCATTGTACTTTGGTACAATTCACAAACATCCGATCCCTCACCAAGGCAGTGTGAGCCTCCTGTGGTATCCTTTCTGATGGTCTGGGTGTCGAAATCGAAAGAGGACTACAGACTTCTTTGAGTAACGTTTCGTTCTTGCTGGTGGGCAATGAAGTTACGAGTGGAACCCAGTCGTTATCCAATGGTTTCTTCAGAGAGAGAAAGAAAGAAGATTGTGTCTTCTTGTGTGTATCTTCTAGTGTGGCTCTTATTGCATGGCTGATTTGTGACAGTATGGTTGCCGTGCCGCCAGTGCTACAAGACGAACGGAGTTGTTCGATACTAGTTGCGACCAAGCAGAGATTTCAGATATACCAAAATCAACTGATGATTTGTTGTCACATGGCTGTCGATGCTTCTTGGATAGTTGTCTTTGTGGCATGTGCAGTGGTTGGGATCGCGTAGTGGACAGAGTGACGAGTCCACTACTCGTGACTACTAAAATACGAGGCTGTTTGGTGACGGTCGCCGCAGAACTGACAGCACCAGTGCGACCGCAGCATTCTACTCAAAAGCAAAAACATGAGCAATGCACTTGTGTAGCTCTAGTAACCATCTGTAGGTGACCATTATCATTGCTCGTCATGGTGCTGTTGGAAGAGGAATGAAGAATGAGGACTGCAGAGGTGCGAGTCTTCTTCAGATCCGCGGTACATTCCTCTAGACGCACACTTGCTCCTACTTTATGCTCTCGGACCTATTGAGTGCAACAAAGCCCACCAGAGCAGCCGCAGTGCAGCAGCAGCTATCGAAACCTGAAGCCTCCGCCCTTCCAGCAGCGACGAGAAACAAGAGTAAGAAAACAAAGAAAGGAATTGGCGAGATGAGTGATGAAGATATCAATAGGGAATTGTCTGTCAAGGAGATGAAGGAATGGTTGATCAGCCTTGGAATCTCTGCGAACGCCCTTGGCAACCACGTTGAAACGCTATACTATGATCATGGATTCACGGACAAAGCCTCGCTAATTGGGATTTCCAAGAATGATTTGAATGAGGTGAACGACTCGATCAGAGATGAAGGGGCCAAGTTACCAGTGGCTCTCAGGAATAGGTTGGTTGCCAATTTGGCACTGAAGAAGCAGCCGCTCCCAGTCGTCGCCACAGGTAGGCTTTACATCTCGTCCATTTGTTTATTGTTGAATTCGTTAAAATCGTCCTTGGCTAACAATTAACCTGCAATTCTGATTATGATCTATTGTTTTCCCTCAATGACATCACCTGTCTCATCAAGATCTGGCAGCGATTAATGAGCAAATTCAGGCCTTTAACCCTGCATTGGAATTTGCTAAAAAGGAAATGGAAGAAGCGACTGATCACAAACCTATGTCAGCGGCATCCTTCGGCTTTGCAAAACTGCTTCTCGAGGGATACCAAATCTCAGTAGAAACGGATGAACCTTGCATGGACCCTGGACCAGGAGACGAGGCCAATCCAACTCCGTACGAATGGAAAGTTGAAACGAAGGATGGGGACACGATCAAGAAAGGGGAACACCAATGGACTCCCGAAGCAATGTAATGCTTCAAGAATCACTTTTTGACGGAATCTGCTGGCTTTGACCTCGTGTTGGTAACAAAGAAACCTCTTCCTAAGTTGAAAGGAAACGGTAGAAGCGCAGCGGGTGAGGGTGAGGGTAACCTTGTCATTGGGAATGGTGTGTACATTACACAAGTTGATGACCCATATGAGCATGCATATGGATTGGTGGAACTTAAGACTGACGAATACAAGGTGAAACCAGGACAGAGTGTTCTAGAGCTAGCTTCGCTTTCAACTACCAGTCGATTTGGCAGAAATTTTGCTCTTTTGGCGACCGACTGCAAGCACAAATGGCAGCTTTACTATTTCAAAGACTTGAAGACAAATCTACGAAGAGAATACCTCCACATCACCAGCAATGGTCGAAAGTGCTGGGAAGACTTCAAGGCATTGATTGGTAATTCAGAGACAAGACAGTTACAGGCACCAACAGCAAGGTACAAACACTCAGTGTCGTGGAAGAAGCGTACCAGGAGCGAGAGCAAGACCTTGGTGGCTTTTACTCGCAGCTAGAGGACAGCAAGACCAAAGCTTTAGAGAAACAAGCTATGCTTGAAACACTGGCTAATAGTCTTGCTGAAGTCTATGGAGAACGACCTATAGTTCCCGCATGGGCTACAGCTCAAGCAGCTTGTCCGGATTACTTTCTATAGAGACTAAAGAGAACTTCAAGGGATAAAAAAATTAAAAGCGATCGAAATGACTAATACTGAAAACACGTAGGACATGGCCAGAATGGCAGCTTTTGGCGGTGCAATGACAGCTATTGTATGGAAAAATCGTGCACCTTAGGCCCAGTTTCAACAACTCAACAACTTTTTTGCATCCATCGAATTCGGTTTTTGGAAGGCCATTTCCGTGAGGCCCGAAATCCCTTCCCAATTTACGTCACCAACTAGTCAGTGGCCAAATTGGACTTTGGGACTCCCACCACAGCCAAGTGCCAATGAACATCCAACTGGATCCAATCCAATGCCAACACCGCTTGCTTGTTGATTGTTGACTGTTCGAAGCTTCACTTCAGTAGACACAACAAGTAAAAGTATTAGACAATGTTCATCTGTGCCGCTGTTATTGTGTTGACGCTGCTCTTACCTTTGGCTTCGGCCACCAAGGGCCATGCAATGGAAGGGTACCGAAACTTTGCACAGGCAAGTATTTCCCTGCTTGCCTTTGCCGACGAAGACGTCTTTGGTGGAAAGAAGGATAGTCGTGGAGGTGGAAGGCCTCATCAGCATCGCATGCTAGAGAAAGTTTGTTAATGACATATTCAATGAACTTGGACCACACTATGTGAGGCGTGCTTACCAGATGGAACCAGCTTCATTTTGGAAGCTTGTGCGAATGTTGAAGCCTTACATCGAACGCTGTTCTGGAGATGAGAAGAGCTGGAAGAATGGAGCCAAGAATGGGTTGACACTGAGGAATTTATGCTCAGTCTCTCACACGCTTATTGATGAAGCATTTATTTAAGCCTTTTCTACCAAGGCTACACAAAAACTAGTGACTTAGACAAACACACAGGAGTAAGATGCGCCAGTGGCAAAACACAATACTACTATTTTACTATACATCTGTACCATGGCTTGTAAATCTATTACATTATTCCTTCTTTTTATTACGCCTCATGAGAGATTGGCATGTGTCCAGAATTATTGAAAGGTACACTATTACTATACGCTTTTCTTCAATGCAGGATTACGAATTGTTTACAGGCATATATCTTCAAGTGGAAACATACTAATGCCTGTGCTGGAATCGAATGTCATAGTAGCATGACTCAACGCCACAGGGAACACGAATCCTGCATAAGCACTCCGTTGCACCCCTTAGAATAATTTACTATACATATTATTGTATACATCTACCAAGATGTGCAGTCACGCTTTTTCTCAATTTGTACTACTTTACTATAGGGATATTCCCCATGCAGGATTCGTGTTCCGTTTGGCGATTCGATGCATGTTTCAAAGGTCTCTTTTACTTAAGCCTGTGCAGGAAACGATTTTTACTGGTTAACACGTGATATAAAGTCGATAGTTCGAATCCTGCATAAAAGCGCCTTTGCACCCCTAGAAACTTTTACTATATATATTACTGTGCAAATCTAGATACAACTGCAGTCACGGATTCTCGTAAAGATGTCTTTTCTCGCATTTTTATATAATTCTGCGCAGGATACACGAATGTCTTGTTCTTCCAGTTCGCTTTCCATGCTTTAGTATGATTTACTATATAGCGTACTGTACCGATCTACCAAATCAGGATTTGGCTATGGCTGTGAAAAGGAATTCCGTACCGTTCATGCAAACCACTGTTCGAATCTATAGTAAAATAGTAGGATTGTGCTTGGTCAACACGACATGATGCTCTTTCTGCTTTCTAGCTACTGTAGCTAGCTAGCTAGCTAGCTAGCTAGCTAGCTAGCTAGCTACCTGGTACCGGTAGCTACTTTATTACGTTTTTTATGCAGGTTTCCACCGCTTTCTCTTTCTTTATCTCTAACCTTTTCCTTTCAATAAAATAAATTTATTACAAAATTCCATGCTCCTCAGTGGCTCTCCCTAGGGTCGTTAATCCCAATGCCAAGCCGCGTCAGTTGGGCAATCCGGTATTTTGCTGGTGGAGCTGCCTATGACATTTCAGTAGTTCATGGAATAGGCCACACTGATGTCTACCGCTCTGTCTGGAAAGTTGTCGATGCCGTGAACAGGTGCCCAAAGCTTGATTTCTCTTATCCATCCAGTCATGAAGCACAACAGACCATTGCCGATGCCTTCGAAAAGGTTAGCCGTGGAGTCTTCAACTGTTGCACAGGTGCAGTAGATGGTATTCTCATCTGGACAGAAAGGCCAAGTGAAGAGACATGTCAGAATGCAGAATGTGGGCCAAAGAAGTTCTTTTGTGGAAGGAAAAAGAAGTTCGGTCTCAACATGCAAGCCACGTGTGATGCTTACCACCGGTTCCTGGACATCAATGTCTCCCATCCTGGATCTACATCTGACTATCTTGCTTGGACATCATGCAAACTCCATCATTAGATCCAAAAGGAAGGTTTCATGAAAAAGGGACTCTGCATCTTTGGAGACAATGCGTACGTGAACACGCCAACCATGGCCACTCCATACAAGGCTGTTGGAGATGGGCCCAAGGATGCGTACAACTACTATCATTCCAACGTCAGGATTACCATCGAATGTGCTTTTGGCATGCTGGTGCGCCGCTAGGGTATCTTGTTGCGTGCATTTCCCAGCTCGATCACCATCGCCAAAGTGACAGCCATGGTTCGCTGCCTCTGTCGCCTGCACAACTTTTGCATTGATGAACGTTTGGAAAGGGAGCAGTTGAATACGGATTGTGATTAGCCAATTTCGCAAAGTTGAAACTCCATCATCTCAGGAGGAACGTACCGTGGACATGACTGAACGTCTTGCAAGTGATGACATGAACATTGTTGTCGGCGAGGGTGGCATTCTCACTGAACCGACAGCTGGGGAAGAGTATCGTCCGGACGCTCTTCTTCATGGTGGTGAGCACTTCGACGATATTTCCTATTGGACGCGAATTGGTTCCCATCGCCATTACAATGAGGTGCTCCCTCGCGAACGGATGCTTGAAACAGTTGAAAGCCTTGGATTGTGTCGTGTCACACCAAAGAATTGGGTTGGAAAGACACCTGCGTGCTCATACAAATCTTAGTTGCAGTAGATTAAACATTACTTAGCCCATGATCGCAGATATATATTCTTTGAAGGTTGCATTGGCCGGGCTCTCGCAAGATCTCTCCTCAACGACTCGCCAAATTTGACAGAGGAAAAACTGTGATGGATGGATTGGCGATGTTTGACGACAAGTTGGATGGTGCTTCTAAGTCTACGAATCTACAGTCCTAAGTCCATGTATGTTTCCAAAACGTTTCAAACTATCGCAATTTATCACTCGCACAAATGCCGATTGAGTTTTGACTTTACTTTGACAGTGGTGACAGGCGCCAACAGTTGAATCTTGTAATGAGAGCAAGCAATGACGATCACTTACTCACTTCGAAGACAACAGCAAACACCACACACTGCGCTTTTTCCTCCATCCACTTTCCACCATCCACCATCAACCATCAGCCAACACAATGACCATGGCCTCTAGTTGCCTTCATCATCATCATCATCCTCACTATCGACAGAGTCAAGTGCAGCTCGTGCGCATTAGAAGCAACAGCCTTCTTCTTCTTCTTAGGAGGATTGAGCGATTCCTCGATAGCCAACTGTTCAAGCATTCCTTCACCGCCTCAACTTGGGCTTCGAGATAACTGACTCTACCCATCCAGAGCTGGCTCAGTTCGATGCTGGTGACCTCCATGACTCTGAGTTGAGCCTCGAAAAGCTTTTCCTGTGTCTCGCGGAGTTCCTTGAAGATGGCAGCACGGGACATTGTATGCATTGCAAGACTCATCTTGGCACGGAAGAATCCAAGGGCCCTTTCGTCGACTCTTCTTTTGCGGGCAGCAGTGGCTTGGTCTGTTCCGGCAACCGAAGAACAAACTTCAGAAGAAGCCGCGGAAGATTCAGCGATGACACACATCACGTTCTTGAGGACCTGCTGCTCATCGGAAACATGCCAAAGATACAGGATGTGTTCCTTGGTTTGGGAATCCAAGAAGTTTGCCCTGTTGTCGCCACACTCCATGTTGTCCTCTCCCATGTGACCAAAAGCATCATCTCCTACCGAACGTTGACCGAAACCATTTCCACTGAGCTCCCACTTTGCAATCATCTTGATCAGCTTGGCACGACAGTCACCCCAGCGGCGCTTCACTTCGTCTGGTGTCACCAGCCCCGGCATCTTCTCCAGAGAACAATCGAGAACTTCAGCAAAAGTAAAATGTAAGTCTGGCAAGCACTGAGAGAACACTTCTTTTTCAGGGTCATTGAACAGTCTGGTGCAAGCCTCGAAGACTGTTTCAGGCCTGTCTGCTGAATTGCGAGCATCCAACTCATCACGGTCACCAATCCTCTGCATCTCTAGGAACAATGGCCTGATCTCATCACTCAACATGCACTCGAAGAGACGTAAGTACGGTTCTGTGGTGATCCACGCTGAAGCCTTTTCCTTCTTATTCTCATCTTGCTTTTCTTGATTTGCGTTTTGGATCAATTAGAACATGCTTCAACTCTTCTGCAACAACAAAGGCACAATCCGATGGACAGGAAATGGGATGTTCCTTCAACCACTTGATACATGTAAGGCGTGCCCAGTAAACACACTTGGGCTCCACTGTACCGTCACAGTGCGCACAGCATTTAATTTCTTCAACCATGTGCTTCTGTGTTGGCGTGACCTTCTTCCTCAACTTCATGGAACAGTATGGCTCTTCCTCGACATTGCCAATCTCACGTAGGTCATGGGTCTTCAGGCCAATTCCCATTGCCATCAACTCTGTGTACTTCTCACCACTGCACTTGTAAAATCTCTCTGCAGGACCTACCTCTGTTGCGTCTGGGTGTACAGCTCCTAACTCAGCGAAAGGAATCTCAGAAAAGGCACGGGGCATGGGAGGTGAGTCTTCTTTTGGAGGTGCCATGGTACTACTATTTCTTTCTTCAACTATGAACTTTCTAATAACAATGGCTCTCTCTCTTTCTCTCTCTCTCTCTCTCTGCGACAAATAATGACACCAAAGCCAACAGAAGAAAACTAGGGCACAAGCCGCTTTGGCTTTAAGCCAAAGCGATATGGGTAAGTGGCGGACTTGGTGCGAGCCATGCCTGTTGTATTGGTTGTTGTATTGGTTTCGCAGTTTAATGGGCAGTTTAATGGCTTGCCGTTGTTCATCTTCATTGCCCGCTTGTTGCATTGCTTCCAGAATGCTCCCCAAAAGGAGTCAAGGTGGTGTATGGGTGGGCCAATCAAACACACTCTTGTTCAAAAAGCCGAATTCGGTGCCCTGCAAAAACCTATCTCGAGAGTTTGCAGCAAACTGAATTTGGTTGGCCTGCAAAAGCCTCTTTTGGGTGACATTCTGAACACGTAAGTGCCAAAAAGGCCACAAATCCCGAATTCGCCTCCCTGCCAAAGTTGTTGAAACTGGGCCTTAGAAGGCCCTTGGAATCAAATGTGAGAATGGCCAGAATGACAGCTTTTGGCAGTGTAATGGCAGCTTTTTTATGGATCAACAGCTCTTATAACAACAATACCCAAGCTCCGTACCTCTATCGAAGTATCTCCACAGCCTCTATTAGCACCTCCACAGCCTCCAGTGAGAGCGGCGAGTTGAAGGCTCAGGCCGGAAGCCTACCGACACTGTTTTACAGTGGTATTTTGGTAGTCTTCGCGCCGACGCCACTAATCGGCCGTTCACGACAACGGTGACACCGATCGAGATGAAGCAGCAAACCACAACAGGTAATGCCACTAGCTAGTAGTAGATACAGAGGCAAAGGCTCTGTTAACTCCAATCAAGACGACAGGCTCCGTCATCTTAGCCTACAATCAACCATACGATCAAATGCGTGTCCAAAAGGGGGACCGAGGTGGGAAAATCCATTATTACCTCACCTCGGTCCCCCGTCCCCTCTACTGTTTTTCTATAGTAAAGTGGCCGCGAGGGACCCACGGTAATCTAAGATTCACCATGTAAACCAAAGAATTAACGTCGGTCCTCCTATCGATTCCCTTTTTAGTCCAGCTGCGACTCGACTCATGTTGTGGTTTGAACACGTACTGCATCCATTTCAACCAGTTACCTGGTAGCTTCCCTCCTATTGCCCCACATCAACACGCAGCACAACAGCTACAAAACAAGAAAGCTACGCATCCCACACGACGTGACAGCCTGATGATGTGTTTTGAGGAATTGTTCCTGGCCGCAACAAACCATTTTTCACTGGCATCAAAATATTTCCCTAATAAGATTATATTTATTTCTTACTTTTTGCATGAGCATTTTGTAGGACACTTTGTCTTACAAGAAGAAGATTTCGATCTTTTGTTTTTTGTTTAGTAAATAAGGCCTCTGAGGATTCCCTCCTACTGTTTTCCCCAAGATCCACAACTCATGAATCTTGAAGATTCACAAACCCACAGCAGCGAATCCCAAAGATTCAGAAACCCTAACCCGAAGATTCGCAAACCCATACACCATTGGGATTAGAGGTAATGAAAAAGGTGCCCTTAGCATTATAGGGCACGATTAACTCGTAATCCCCTTTTCATAATTCTGAGTAGCCTCCGCGGCGATTGAGCGGATTCCAACACCCAACTCCAACTAACAAACTCTAACCATCAACCATAACGAAAACTCAACAAGAATCTCCTAGATCCTGCTGGCAGTTTACTTGGTATAACTTTCCAACCAACTATAGCAAAGTTCTATTAGACCTATACAGCAAAAGTATAATTAAATATGGAGTATGCCAAATCGAAGTTTGCCCTGAGACCGGTAAAGAGCATCTTCAAGGTTTTGTACTCTTCACCCAGCAATATCGCTTAGCAGTAGCAAAAAGCAAATTTGCTGACAATAGCATTCACCTAACCCCCGTACAAGGCAAACCGGAAGACCTAGCAAAAAGCATCAACTATTGTAAGAAGGAAGAAACACGAAAGGATGGATGCAACCCATTGAAATAGGCAATAGTGGTCAAACTCCTGGGAAAAGAACTGACTTCGAATCCTTCAAAGTGGATGTAGCAAAAGGTGTTCCATGGAGCGAGTTGCAAGACAAACATAACAGCCTTACAAGTGGAAACCGGACTTGGTGCTATGACTACTTCGGTCGCCATCGCCCTAAACCCCCACCCAACTCAAACTTTGAAACACGAGACTGGCATAAACATGTCTATGATGCAATCAGAAACCCATCCTTCAGAAAGATCTACTTCATCGTAGACGAGCTAGGCGGTGCAGGAAAGAGCTGGCTATGTGAGTACCTAAAAGCAACCAGAACAGACCTCCAATTGCTAGAACCCGCAAAACTCGATGCAATGCAGTACCTTCTTTCCGAAGATGCAAAAATCTTTTTAATCGATTGCCCCCGCTCTCGCAAAGATATCCATATCCCCTACGATCTTTTGGAAGGCATTAAAGATGGAGATATCCTTAGCACGAAATACGTACCAACCAACAAAACATTCATCGTTCGAACACAGTATTTGTGTTCATGAATGAATGCCCAATCACTTTCAAATTCTGTCTAGACAGATTCATTGTATGGTTTCGTAGAAAGACAGGCTGGGCTCGTGCTACTCCAGATGAAGAAGGCATATGGATAATTATTCCTGTAGAAGGTGACACCGAAGGCAAGGCAATTCAGCGCATAAATCAAGCTCAGGCAAAAGAATTTCGGAACGCAAGAATGATGCCATCCAAGACGCACACCGAAAATTACAATACCAACTAGCACTGAAAAAGTGGAAGTAGACCACAGGAACAACGCTGGTGGACTTCCCCATGACAATCGTTTTGACCTTGAAGGAGGAATAGAACATATCGACCAGCAACAGCTAGAATAATGAATCCTACTAGGAACCCTTTTGGTAGAAATCGTCCATTTGTGGATCGCACTTACACTCCAAGAACGCCAAAACCAATAAAGAGAACTTCAAGATCAGACAAAGGTCCGATATGGCTAAAAGAATGGATATTAACCGAACCTATCCAAAAAATTTCTAGTTAATTGTACTTCTGAGTTAACTACTGCTGAGAAATCAGCTCATTTACACCATCCTTCTCCCTGTACTCGAAAATTGTATACCCGTACTGAGGAAGAAAGTATCTCTCTCCAATATTAATTCCCTCATTATACCAGACTGTGCAGTTTCTCCGTGAAGGCTGGTGGGGAAACAAGGAGTTGTGGAGTGGCACTGAATGGGACGACGATCAGCACCACTTCTTCCGCGATGAGGAACTCAAGATGGATCGTCGCAAGGCAGGACCAGTGAACTGCAGAGGACTTGTCAACAAGGTGGAGATGTTCATGAACACCAAGTACATGAAGATCGCTGGAGGGCTAACTGGAACCATCGATGAATTGGTCATTGATCGAAATTTTGAAACGACGACGGAAGACGTGCCGATCGACATGATCGTTAACCTGCAGGAGCTGTTACAGCCACAGTAGGCTTGGATAAGATAGTAGTAGTCATGGTGAGTGTTGTTGCCGCTGCTGCTGCCTTCATTTGGCCATTGTCGTGGTTTAACGTGTCTAACAAAAAAATATTGTGTGCATTTTCTTTTATGCTGGGCCCCCAGTAGTATCAAACCGGAATGACAGCATTAGACGAATTAGGGGGCAATGACATGTACAACGTACAACTGCTTTTGTTGCCAGAGAAACTTGCTGCTTTCTTCTGTCCTGATCCCTTCTTTGACAGTGGAAAGGTTGGCAGGTTGACCTTTCCACTCTCATCTCCAGAGTGGTAGACCAGTGGTATGACACAGTAGGACTAGTGTTATAGGTAGGATTTTACGTAGGAAATCTAGGTACCCCCATGGCGCAGCAATACAAAATCCTCATGGGAGGGGTACCCCACCCTCTCTCTATGGTGTGCAAGCAGCATCAAGCCTGAAACCAAAGGTAGGGTACCCCCCCTAAATTCTGCAGAGCCTAGAAAACCCAGTGTTTCCTTCCAGGGTAATCTTTCAGCTGATAGTGACCGTAGTTGGTGCAGGAATCTGGGTGCTTGCAGATAAGTATGATGCTTGTGATCAGCTTTATACATTGATCAGGCAGGAAAATTTCATTGGAGAGGATGCAACCTAAAAGCAATGAAATTTAGGATGTCCTAGAGGTCAATAGCTTGAAAATGCTATGGATGGGTAATGTTATACAGTGGACAGTGGATGTTTGAACAAGCTATGAAAATACTAGGCTGATACTAGGATAGAAGCTACCCCTCCCCTTTCTAGTACATATTCTACGTGGGTCTACGTAGAGCAAGCAGCAAAGTCAATGGGGCCTAAGGGGGGGTACCCACCCCTTTATCCTGCAGAGGAGATACATGTTGCACCACCGGTCCTGACAGAGTGCCACAGTACATGCAGACTTTGACCTTGTGGGA